GCTTAGGTCGACATCTGAGACTCACCTTCGCAGACATGCCAACAAGCCCGTTATCTACCTCCACCTGCCTCAACCACCCACTATCGACCCCCCCCACGACACTCACATCAGCAACCTCTCCAGACACCTCCTCCACCAACGCCCTCAACCACCCCCATCGCGCAACCCGTCCGCGCACGCCCAGTTTTGCTGGCAACCTACCGCAGATATACCACTCCTATACGTCGATCCATGTCCTCCAGCAGCTCTGAAGATCCCTCCAACGTCTCACCGCTCAAGAAACCATGCCCTCACCGATCTCCTCTTTCACCCCCGAATGGCTCACACCTTCCTGCTCTAAATTATATAGACCCCCACGTGGGTCACAACAGGTATGCTTTGGAATTGCACTTTCCTCCTCTAATCTTTACACCCGCGGCCCGCGTGGCTCACCAAAGCTATGCTATCTATTTACATTTAACCCCCGCGTGGCTCAGAAAAGGTATGCTACCTTGGCTGTGGAATAGATTCCGGTGTTCGATAGAAGCTTGTGGGCGAGTGTCGGGTCGGTCACCAGGATCGGTCACCAATGTGGTTGGATCGGTCGCCCCGGATCGGTGACCAGGAAGTCCGGATCGGTGACCTGACGGATCGGTGACTGGCAATCACGGATCGGTCGCTCGGTCGCCAGGATCGGTCACCAGAGAGGTCTAGGGAAGGCAAGGAGAACAACCCAAGCCAACCATACCGGATCGGTCGCCAGGATCGGTCACCACAAAGGTCTAGGGAAGGCAAGGAAAACAACCCAAGCCAACCATACCGGATCGGCCGGTCACCAGAGAGGTCTAGGGAAGGCAAAGAAAAGAAGCCAAATCAACCATGCCGGATCATACAACGTCACAATCCCTGAGTCCAGACTTTTTCTCTGAAATATCCTAAACTCAAGAAATGGGTTGTTGAAAAGCTGCTTGACGTCACAAAACACGTCAAAAGGCGAAACGCCTTGAACTCGCAGTCGGTAAATTACGTACATGTATATATAATATATAGATACATTCGCATGGTTACCAGACCACACCATGATGACAAAGTACTACTTCTTCGGGGTCCACATCAGGATTCACCCAGGTTCTCTTCGTCTGGTGACAACCCGGCAGTTCGCCACCGCCTCATTGCTCTGTTTTTCTTGTTTGAATTCACTGCGCTCACCTGTGGACCGCCGCTTTGGGCGGGTTATATCAACATCGAAAAATATACTTCGCCCAATAGGATATGTTTGTGGTTGAAGCCATCTGTGCTCGAGGGCGCATCGCGTAATGCGTGCTATCTTTGTGGTACAGGAATGTAGAACTGCTTTCTCAATTACCCTGAGAGCAACGCGTGAAAGTCTGCCCATGGACATAGTAGAGCGCAAACTTGACCAAAAGGTTCGTGGCGTGACACCGAAGACCGACGCAAATGATTGCCTTTCCTCTGCTTCCTTTCACACATCCGACAAGGTGACGCCAGTAGTAGTAGTAGTAGTAGTAGTAGTAGGAGTAGTAGTAGTAGCAGTAGTAGTAGTAGTGGTAGTAGTAGTAGTAGTGGTGGTAGTAGTAGTAGTAGGAGGAGTAATAGTAGTGGTAGTGGTAGTGGTCGTCGTAGTGGTAGTGGTAGTGGTAGTGGTAGTGGTAGTGGTAGTGGTAGTGGTAGTGGTCGTGGTAGTGGTCGTGGTCGTGGTCGTGGTCGTGGTCGTGGTCGTGGTCGTGGT